GAGTTCCCATCACCCATGTTGGCCAATTCAAAAACCTCCTGTAACAGCAGCTCCAGGGCCTCAGAAGGCACCTGCATTCATGTGTATCACACCCATATGCACAATTTAAATTTTAAGAGATATAAAAAATAGAGCTGGAAACATTACTCAATGGTTAGGAGTACTGGCTACTCTTCTAGAGGACCCAAGTTCAATTCCTAGCACCCACATACATGGTAGCTCACAATCTGTAACTGTAGCCCAAGGGGATCAGATGTCCTCTTCTGGTTTCCATGGACACTTCATGTATGTGGTACAGATATACACGAAGGTAAAATACACTATACATATAAAATAAATATATTTAAATTATATAAAATAAATAAAACTTTTTGATGCTTCTATCCTTCTCAAAATGACCCATATACATTATATGTATATGTATTTTCTGTTTTATAATTGTATATATACTGTATGAAAGGTAAGCAGTGTCTTTTTACAGTTTCTAGTTCCTTCTGGGCTTGGTGGCACTTACCGTACCTTGAAACCCAGCACTTAGGAGGCAGAGACAGGAGGATCACTGAGTTCAAGGACAGCCTGTTCTGTGTAGCAAGTTCATGGAACCGTCTCTCTACTTTCTTTTTTCTGTAGGTGTCAGGAACCAAACTCAGGTGGTTACACTTGCACCATTAAGTGGTAAACGCCTTTACCTGCTGAGCCATTTCACTGGCCCAAGATGTCTTTGACTATTATTTAAAAGCTAACAAGATCAGATCTGGGTGTAGTGGCTCACAACTGTAATCTCTGCACTTGGGGAGCAGGAGTAGAAGGAGAGAAGTATGTTTGGAGGCCAAACCTGGGGCACAGAGTGAGCTCTTGACTAAAAACACCAAAAACTCCCTTTAAAATAAAACCAAACTTCCAAAAAGCTGGCAAAGATCAATTACCCAAAGCTCTCAAGATACTAAAATTAAGTTTAAAAACTTGTCAAAGCCATAGATATTTTCAGAAACAGTTTTATTTGCTCCAAAGTTTTCTAAGGAAATACTACTTCCTCAAGATGTTCTTGCCCCCCAACTCCAAGTACAGTTTCTCTTCTTATCCTTTTAGTTGGTTTTCTTTCGCTGCATGGCACTTTACCTTCATCTGACACACATACATATTATTTGTTAGTAAATTTAAAGGCGATGTTCCAAACTTGTTCTGATTTTTTCACTATCAATTCCTAATTAAATGTGTCAAATGAAACATACTAAAAGAGCCCACCAATTCTCTCCCATTAAAAATGGCTGTGCCTTATCTGAATTTTCTCACGACAACCGAACAGCACATTGATAACATTTTTGAAGGGGTTTCTCCCCAAGTCTTTTCCTGTGTTAAGATGGTAATTATGGTGGGTAGCTTCCATCTATCACCTTTTGGTTAGTAAGGACATTTTATAAACAGCATAACTAAGTATCAAACAAGAGGGGCCTAGGGAAGAGAGTACTAAGCAGTAGCCTCAATGGGGCATTCACGTGCTAGATGTCCAGGCTCGCCACAGCGGTAGCAGCTGACTTCGCTGGCCTTGCTGCAGTTCACCGCCATGTGGCCATTCTCACCACATCTGTAGCACTTGATTTGGGTGCAGTCTTTCTGGATGTGCCCGAATTCGCCGCAAGTGTAGCATTTCTGCTCTTCCTGCCGGTCGCAATCACGAGCCAGATGACCAGGTCGGCTGCAGATGTAACAGCACTGCTCCCTTTCTCGTTTAGTCTGGGTACAGTCTTTAGCGATGTGGCCTCTTTTCCCGCAGTTGTAGCAGGTGTCCTGGAGAAGATCGCAGTCCTTGGCATAATGACCAGTTTCACCACAGCGATAACAGATGTCAGATTGGCTGGCAGAGCTGCATTGAGGACCTCGGCCACGACTTCTTGGTGTTCGCCCGCGAGTTCCTCCTTTAGGACACTCCCGGGCCCAGTGGCCAGGGCGTCCACACTTGAAGCAAGTTTTACTGCTCATGGCTACGGTGAGATCTTCCGGTGAGCAGGCCCACACACCGCTGCCACGGAGCCCCGAGGCTACCCCCTAGGATGGCTTAGATGGAAATGGCGGATTTTCCTAGCTGGCTTCTATGACGTTACATGAGCTTTGCACACGGCCTCGGTGGCCTGGTGTCATAAGCTTTTTGACGTGTGTGTGTGTGTGCACGCATGTGTGTGTGTGTTTACTTTTAATTTAGTTCAGTTTAGTTTTAGTTTTCCCAGACATCCTGACATCATCTCACCACCGAATCCAGCTTGGTCTTGAACTAAAGATTCTTTTGCCTGGGTCTCATGAGCACTGGGACTATAGATACATTCCACTTACTACACGGACCTGACTTTTTTGTTGTAGTTGTTGGTTTTCAACACTTGAGTTATTAAATTTGACTTTGAATCCGTTTCTGTTCAGGAATTCTGACCTGTAGAATGTTTCAGAATTCAGTAATTCTCTCTAGATGTGGTGGCACAGGCCTGTAATCCCAGGCTCAGGAGGCCTGCACAACATTGTACGCTCTATACCAAGCTTGGGTACATAACAAGAAAACTTGATTACTTACTAGGTCACAAAGAAAACTCTCTCCATACTTTCTATGTTATTTTAATAAATTCATTTAATTAATTAATTTGAGGCAGTGTAGCCCTGGATTACCTGGAACTCACTATTTACCACAAACTGGCCTCAAATTTGCAGGAACCCTCCCGCCTTAGCCTCCTGAGTACTGGGTTTACTGTGTATGCCATATCTAGCTTTGTTAACTAGTGTTTGTTTTTAAATAAAATGTTTATAAAAATTATAGACCCACAAGGACTGGGGATATAGCTGAGTGGTATAGTACTTGCCTACCCTGTCCAAATCTTGTGATCCATCTCCAGTGCTAAAAACAACAAATCAGATACATATGTGTTTTTTGTTTGGTTTTTCAAGACTGGGTTTCTCTGTGTAGCCCTAGTTGTCCTGGAGCTCACTCTGCAGACCAAACTAGCCTTGAACTCATAGAGATCCTCCTGCCTCTGTTTCCCGAGAGCTGGGATTAAAAATCCCAGCGAGATTTGTTCATGGTTTAACATATTTTATTATTTTATTGCTGCAAATTTAGCTTTCCATTTTTGTGGGAATGGGGGGGTGTGTGTCCAGGCAGACCAGCTTGCCTTGAAGTAACTCGGGATGAACTTCTGATCCACTTGTCTATACCTCCAAAGTACTAGGATTACACAAGTGGGCTGCCTTCCCTGACTTGCCATCTTAACTTCTAACTTAAAAGCACTATTTCTGTTATTAAAGAACAAAATTGACACATTTAGTATAAAAACAATGTTATTGCTTGGAAAAATAAATGCAATTAAAAGGAGTTGGGTTCCTCACTAGGGCTGTTCCTCCTCTAGGACTACCCCTATTCAGTCTGACCTGTGTAAGACCTGGTTACTATCAGGATAAGAACCAGAAACTCTGGATGGTTGTAAGCCTAGGATTTAGTCCCTACCATCCAACTCATAACAGGATTGGCAACTGGTCCTAAAGCTGGAGGTCTGCACCGGTTTCCAGTCTAGCAGTCCCTCCAGCTCAGCTCAGCCCTGAACTTCAGATGACCCACTTTCTATGTGCCTGGCCTGTCTGTGTCCTGAGCCTTGCCCTTCCTAGGTACAGCTGAGGCTTTCTTGCCCCTTTGTGCCTCTGATGTTGACCCCACAGATGGTCCTTCTAAAGATCCCTTGTTCCTTCGAACCCTTCTCCTTGGCTCCCAGTGCAACATGCTACTCAGATGGCTCTGATCTGGAGGTGCCTGTGGAGCAGGTATGGATGGGGATTCCATGCCCTGTGGATCTCTGAGCTACCAACGCTGGTTAGAAGTTGACCTGGTGCTGGGCAGAGAACTCTGTTTTCAGTGGCTTGAAGGCACAATGGGATGAGTGCAGGGAGCATCTGATGTACTTCTCCCACATATTCAGTTCTAGGCTCCTAAAAGTGATGCTGACCCTAGCTCCTACCCCAGACGTGGTTTTAACTAATTATACTTTACTGCTTTTACTTAAAACAAAACAAAACAAAACAAAAAAACAAAAAACTGTGGAGTACTTGCTTATTTACTTATGCCATGGGTCTGATCCCAACCAAAACTAAATGTTTATAAAAACATTGAAATATTGGATTTACTTTCTCATAGGTGTTTTCCAAATTGCTTATACGTTGTTTATTTAAACAAATGCAGAAGTATTAGGGTTAAGGAAGTAGCTATCTTACTTTTTTCTCTTTCATTGTGTGTGTGTGTGTGTGTGTGTGTGTGTGTTAAGGTTCTCATGTAGCTGAAAATAGCTTTCAACTTTATCTTCCCAGGGCTGCCTCCCAGAAATGAGGCAGAGCATTGTCAAAGTTGGAATGTGACTGGAGCGTAGAGGAAACATTAGTTTCTTCTACGTGTTACCTATCTGTCCACTAGGTGACTCACTATATCTTATGGCCCTGCCTTCTGCTTCTATTCTGCTCATAGCATTTGTTTCAGGTACAAGCATGCAACTGCCTCCCTCCACCACCACCCCCCGCGCCCCTTCATTTTTACTTGTATGCTTCAGGTGCTCTCCGTGAAAAGCCATTCTAATGAAGTGCTAGATAGACAGGCGCCAGTCGG